AACATTCCAATGTGAATTATAACTTTGTCATAATTGCCTTATTTTTACATTTCCATTTCTTTTCCTTTCTCTCATTGACATAAATATCTCAAACTACTTTCTCAAATAAGCTGAGGTTAAACCAAAACTTTGCTAGCATTTTTTTTTTCTAGATGAAACTGGCCTGTATTAGCTTGGAGCTGCATTATGGCTTATTAACACCGCATTGTCTATACCTCAATTACCTGCCAAAGCAGTTACTATAAACTTAAGTAATGCGGAATACACCTAAGACCCTTTCATTGAACAAAATAGAACAATTGTCTTAACAGAACAGAAAACAGCAGCTATAGCAACATTTTTCAGGAACATCAAGAAACCACAAAAAGTCTTCTACAGACCAAAGCAATAATAGACACTGCTAACAACCAAAGAAAAATTAACGAGAACATTCCGCTTTGCGATATACGCGGTTGAGTGTTAACAACAACAGAATGAGTCTGTGGTACACCTCCTGCAACAGATGCAGGCTGGGTATTTTGAGTTGGAAAAGACTGATTGGCAGCAGTTCTCTGACGAATACCACTAGCTCCTGCATTAACACTACTGTTCTGATTGGTTGCTGGAGCACTTCCAGCCTGACTTGATGAGACAGTATTGTGACTAGTCACTGGACCTGCATACGATGCATAACCCTGTGCAGCTGAAGGATTTGCAGTCATCATGTTGTACATTGGGTACCCTGTGGCATAGTAAGGGTAAGCTGATTGATATGCAGCATAGTATTGAGGAGGCACACCCATTGAATGAACACCCCATGGTGAAGCTCCAGTAGGCGATCCTGCCATAGAGTTCACTTGACTCGGTGTTGAAGTCTGTGGTTGGCTAGTCCCACTGCCAGAAGTTGGTGTTTCTGTCCTTTCACCTGTTGCTTTTTCCTTTTCGTTCTCTCCCTGTAAGAAAGTAATTATGATAAGTATGATCTTAATTTCACTCCTTGGAGAGTGTTTTGGCATGATATTTAACAATTCTTCCTCAAGCCCAAATGGGCTATTGACTCAGAGGTTACAAGTGGGCTATAACACATAGCCTAGTAGTAGCTCAACCAATCAGAACGCAGCATTGGTAATAGACCACTAGTTGGATTTTACTAATAACTTTTAGCTCCGTGCACAAAAACCTATTCATGCAATGTAATACCCTCCAGAGGTTTTTTCTCGAATGTGGTCAATGCAGGATGCTTCGGTGTTGGCTGCAGGACAACACATCTTCAGCCAAAGGCTAAAACCACAATCAGGTGACACTATAAAGACTTACCGAAACCCAAAAACCATGCATGAAAAGTCTCCAGCAGCTAGGGTAATAATGTAAGCAATCAAAAACCTCTTCAGTAGAACTTTTATATTTTAGTTCCTATAGATAGTATTTCACAAATCAAAACGACGGGTTTTTACAGAATTTTGACTTTGGCCACTAGTGGCGATGTAAGGAGTTAAAAGAATCCCCCTTTGGATTCTAGGCATGAAATATGTCAAGTAGCAGTACCTTAAAGGTGATCTGTGCTGCTAACTCAGCTGCTTCCTTCTCAGCTTCTTTACTTGATTCACCTATAAAACAAAATAATTGCAAAATTAGACAAAATGTCTACTTCACCTGTGACTTAAGAATAAGCAAAACAAAAGGTAACTTGAAGATGATGTTTCAGCCTAAAATGATTAATGCAGACATTTGTCAAGTAAAGAGGTCAAGATCTCTATAGCTGCGATAGAAAGTTAACTCAAGGTTTTGTAGCAAAAAAAAATTGCTCAGGGTTGTTGAGAGGTGGCTGATAGCAGAGGTTACAATGTATTTTAAAACTTCCTGTAGGCAGGTGTGAGCTGCAGTACAAAACCATGCAGTTTGCTACATATATCAGTACTACAGGTACCTACAGGTACCATCAGTTACCAAAAATTTATTGACTGAGAGCCAAAAAATATACCGGTAGATTCCCAGCTGATCTGACTCTTCAAAAATTTCTTTTCAATATCAATAGGCACAACATTGTTTGGGGGGGGGGGGAGGGATTGTTGCTTTTTTTTTCCTTTGAAGTATTGAGTGGGAAGTGTCCCTTATGGAATTGTTTCTCAAGTAATTTTTAAAACCAAATATAGGTATATACAGAGGGCTATATCATCTTCAATCATCAAATTATGGTTAGAACCTGCCTACCAGTGGTTTCTAGTAAAACGGTCTTTATACACACATCACAGCCATTACATTTCCAGTCTATTGATCTAGAATGAAAAAACATTGTAAGTCTCACAAGACTACATTGGAAAAGGAGAAAAAGCTCCTTAGATTTTATCCCTAAACTAATTTTTAAACAATTTTTTTCATTGCTTCCGGAAATGAAACAGAAACTTACAAGTTTTACTTGTATTTATCAAATTAATGTAGGGGGTAGCAACCACTGATAATTGAGAATTAAATTGACAGCAAACTGCCCATGACTTTAAAGGGAACTTTTTTCAGTTAAGGACCAGCCATTTTAATCTTTGGAAGCATCAAATACATTTTATGTATTATTTTCTTACTTTGTGAGACCTCTGTCTCCCTAGATCCCAGGGGAGGGGAGGTACTTCCTTATAAGAGGCTAATGGGGATGTGCTGCTGGATGGGGTAGGGGCTCTGAGAGGCCAGAGGCACATACACAGCAAAAATTAACCCAAGTAACTCCCGCTGGGCCCTAGATGTGTATGATCTAAATGCTCCTGTCATGTTCTAAAACGTCATTTTCAAGTTGTGGTAGACAGGTAGTTTTAATTATAAATTTAATATAGTACATGCTCCTTACTTTTTAGCCAGGACCTTTCTTTCTTGTGGAGTGTAGTCAAGAGACCCTATTGCTCCTGCACCCTGGGTTGGCATGAATCCAATTATTGCCATAAGCACAGTACGAACTGTCAATAAGAACACACCCATAACAACAAATTATGAATTATTACCCTCCCTCAGAGAATGTCTCTTCGCAGCAGTAAATTTGGATGGCACAGTCTATCTTCAATTTTCCAAAATTTTGCATACGTTAACCTGTTTTTTTTAAAGTAAATTTTGGTTGAAAGTGACAGTTATCATTATATTCTTCACTTAACAGTCAGTCTAATTCCTTATGGCTGCACTTAATACACAGCCTTACTCACTGCACTCTCCTTCACTTCTCCATTTTTTTAATTTTCTGTAACAATAACCACTCAATCATCCAACACCAAATCTCAAAATTTGGCCAGGCCAGCTTAACCCATTGTCCCTGAACTGCCCGTAACCGCCCATGCAGATCCTAAAAGCTTTACAGAATGCTCAGCAAAGGAAAAAAATGACTCAGGCAAGAAAAGCGAAAGAAGAGGGAGGAAGAGAAGAAAAAAAATAGGACTGCTGTGTCACTTTTAAACCCAAAATTGGAGAAATTATCTCAAAATTTTGCTTTTTACACATGCCCGAGCTTTGGAGGCTAATATTTTGCATCTGGAACAAAAGGCTGCCAAGAGTATGACCTGCATGTAAACAGCTTTGTGGCAAGTTTTAACTCTTTATAGCCAGACAGAGACCAGAAAACAGCTGGACTAGCTTCAAAATGCAGTTTTTCAGAAAAAAATTCCCCGGAGTGAATGGGTTAAGTCTTTTAGTCAAACACTTGAGTTTCAAGCACAGTATACATATTTCACGATTTCAGGACACTTACTGCTCCATGATGGCTGCCAAGTTTCAGGATGATGCGCTGACATGCTAAGGCAAATTTTCTTCCCAACTTCAAACCGACCATTTGGCTGAAGACAAGAAGAGGGAATAATTTATAACTTTCAACCATAAGTGACCAAGAAAAAAAATAAATTCTAAACAAAGTTGGGGTATGGTTAGCCGTTTGAAGCAAAATTCAAGAACATAGTATTTTCATTCAAGGATTTATATTTAACATTCAACAAATAAATATTCAACTTCAACTCAAACTATTTTCATTCAGCAGAAAAATATCCATTCAACTTCAACTCAAACCATTCTTCTTCAACATAAATATTCACACATAATTTCTGCAGTCCAGCATTTCTCAAACATCATTTCGTGGGCAAACCATTTGTGGCATCATTAAATGTTGACTGCTTTTTCAGGCCAATATTCACCTCCCCTGTGGGAAACAGTTGTATACTCAGGACTATCATTAGTTGCTGGCTACTGCCATAAAATCACTGAGCTGTCTATTGTAGATTTTAAATTGAGTCAAACATAAAAAAAGAGGAGGATTTGTAGGGTGAATGCCTGGCTACTTTTCCTGAGAGACCAGCCACTGACAGCCCTGTATACCATTGACTTTAAGAGACTGAACAGAATAAGTAAGTTTTAATTTAGACTCACAGTTAATAACATGATACTGGGTGGCTTCATGGGGTACTCAGGAGGCAATGTTATTCTACCATGGTAACGTCCACCAGCAAAATCGCTGTCAGGGGGGCCACGCACAGTGAAATGCCACTCAAACAAATTATCCTGCCAATCAACAACATATTTTGAGTAACCAGACCATATTGTGGTTCAGTTCTATCCTTAATGCAAATTAAATTTTTCTTTAGGTTGCCTTTCTTGTATGATGATTACTGAGATGAAAATGACATTCAAACAAGCAAGATATAATTTTTACTAGGATTATAGGGTTAATTCATAACATATATCATGCAACATTCTTTGATGATGCAATATTAAACTACAGAACATTGGTAAGTTTGAAGCTAAGCAGGAATTAAAGAAAAACATGAGAGAGAGGATCTAAGAGTATAACTATCCCACCAAACTGACCCAGGTTTCCACTTTGCCTAAGTTTGTACAATTAGTTGGTCAGGTCTATTGTAAATAGGTGCTGCACAAGGGATGTTACTACAGAAGGAGCTGGCTGCCGGCTAAGTTGAAAAACATATAGTACTGTGTCATTCACAAGTGAGAAAATTTATGTAACAGCAGCCCCAGAACATAAGCACCACTCTCAATTAAGC